ATAAAAGCAAAAAAAAGGAGAGGGAGGGGTGGATCTGAATGAAGACAGCATCTTTACTCCCAAGGAGCTAAAAGTCTAGAAGATTTAGCTGCTCTCTCTGCGGTGAATTACTATGTTTTTACCTTCACATTGCTCAGAGAAAGAGACATCCATTTCCTACGGCCTGGCAGTTGGCAAGGCAACATTGTGATGAACGCACATAGAGGGATGCTGCATGAATCCTAATGAGGCCAGCTGACCAATGGCGTGGCCAGGGCAAGACATGGGGAACATTAGGATATGGTAAAAGAATATAGAGACAGAAAACTTATAAAGGGCATTGTAACGTCCTCTGCACAATAGCACACAGTATTTTTAATTAGCAACTGAAAATCCAATTCTGGTAACAAATGCCGCAGTAATTAGTGAAAACAAACTTCAAAAGTGTTGAAAATGTAAGAGACCAAAGTAAAAAAAACTATGAATGAAGCCTCTTCTATCTAGCGATCTTGGCTTGTGCTGATGGGTTAACAGTGCTTACCTACTTGTATCTTTCTTCTGCTTCCAGCTAACATGGCGCTATGGATAATCCCTGCTCTGGCAGCCAGTTTGAACACAGCTCAACATAATGAAGCCCATTAGTCTGGAGACAATGGCTGCTAGCAAAGCTCAAACACTGAATAACACAGGATGAGAGAAAAAAAAGAGGGGCATAAACACTCATCTTTTACTGTGTGCCTTCAGTTGCCATGACCTGATATTGCCCTCATTTGCAGAAGAGCACACACTTTGTCACACACACACACACACAGAAACATATGCTGAATGAGCAAACAATTAACGTGAGACAGGCCTGCAAAAAGTAGACCAGAGGAACACCGTAGGAAGTAGCAATTTAGAGAAGGAGAGTGAGGGCAAGGAGACAGAGGAGAAGACAGAAGAAGAGAATGCAAAGGATTGAAAGAGGGAACCTGCAGCAGGAGGAGGAAAAAAAGAAAAGGGGCAAGAACAAAGGTATTGTAAGAAGAGTGACAAAAATGCAAAAAGGCAAAGGAAAAATGAAGGATAATGCTGAAAATGTTATCAGTTTAAGTATGCTGTATTGAGCAGAGGTCACACAAGGTCAGTGAAAGAAGACTAGCAAGACTGAGCAGGTATCGGGATGAAACAACTGGGCATACGGAAGCCACTAATATACCCCATTGCTTATTATAATCTCTTGATACGCTGGCATGAGATTGGTGTGTGTGTGCGCGAGTGTGTGTGCGTGATGAGAAAAATGATAAACAGGAAAAATCCCTACCAAGCAGTTTAAGCCTTTACTGGGACACTGATAGCAGCTTGTCTGTGTGTGTCTGTGTGTGTGAGGAGGTGTGGGTGTGTGTGTGTGTGTGCATGTGTGTTAGACATAATCTCTTGCAGAATTAATTCCTGGAAATTGAAATGAAAATGGGAAAGGAAGTGTCTAGTAGCAGGTCCTTTACCTCAAGGTCAGCATCACAGAGTTTGGTTTTCTGTGTGTTTCGGTGTGGTTAAACAGGTTTAAAGTACGGTGGCCTGGAGAGATTGCTTTAAGATAACACTGTGCCAGGGTGGGCACTGGTGTACAATCGGCCAGTGGGACCGTACTGGATACTTTTGTAATTTGTAATAGCTCTCCAAGCAAAAGGCAAACTGAAAAATAGCGTGCCTCTTGTCTCCTTGAGAAAATATCTCTCTCTGTCTCTGTTATATTCACAGAAAACCACATGTGGAATGCCAAAAGGTCTATACTGTAATATATACTATACTGTAAATCCTTGATCCTGGCAATGGCAGAGGCAGTTAGATCTATCATTCGACTGTACATTCCCTCAACTCTGATTGTCATTGCTGCTATACCATACTGCAGGCCATTCACCCAAATGGAACCACTGACATGCACACATACAAACCGACACAGGCTGCTGACCTACATGTGACTGGCTGCAGCCCAGATATGCTAGCATTCACCTCAGGGGATGGGTTCTGTAATGTTTGCATATACCCGCTGAACATGTTGGCTGACTGGCGGACAAGCCGCATTAAAGTAGGTCGAACGGTACCCCCAAACTACACCCAGTGCCCCCCTGGCTTGGTGGCCGTAGAGCCTCGGGTGAAGCAGGGAGGGCAGGGGCTTGCACAGCAGGGGCACGGGGCTGGCATGACCGGATGAAGGTCCCACAAATCTGACAGCTCATCAAGCCATCATCGGTTAGCGAGTCCTGGAGGTAAATCTGACAACATTCTTCTCGTCAAGACAGTGTATGGCATGACCTAAACCTCCAAAAACACACAAATTAACAGTTTAGTCAGTTTTGCCAAATTCAGCACTGGCCTGAACCAACAGATCAGATTCGACTTGGAATTCAGGTACATCCCTAAAAAAAGGTCACTAGCTTGGTTCCAGTGTCAGGAATGCCCTATGAGCTGTGCACATACACACAAACACACACACGCTGGACCTTGAGAAAACCTTGTCGTGATCACAGAGTTTTGGGTGACCATCAAGCCATGTTGGCCATTCCGGGCCAGGATTAAACTATAACACAAGGGGTAGACCACATTTGGTCAGTGGAGCATTATAGAGTTTGGCAGGTCATGACCCAGGGTCCATCAGTAGAGGAAGGCAGAGAGTCCACTGTCAGACAAAAATACAGTGGGAATAGAAAAGACAGGAAAGAAAAAATAAACAGGGTGAGGGCCAAAAAGAGAGCGCTACCCTGGCAGCGTTGGTCATGTTATGGGTCAATGGATGATTTTGGTTACATAGTAGTCTGGGATGTACTGTGCTGGGTGGGTAAAACACAACCTGAACTCATTCTGGGTCACTTGCTAATCAAATGGTGGCACACCACACCTACAGAACAAGCACCATCTGACTCACAAACACAGCTAGTAGTGCCAGTATGCACACCGCATTTCATCAGATTTTGGGAGCCTTCATTTGCAGTTGGCTCAATGAAATGTTGATGTTTTGCAGCACATTTGCTGCACATCCTGCATTTGTATTATAATTTGCTTTTGCCTGATTGAATATATGCCTACATTGTCTCTCTGTGTTTTTATGTTTTACATGCAGCGAAGAGGATGCAGCAGTGCAGCACACCTTTGATATCACCCTCCACATGGCCACGGTGCTAGGGAATCCCTGTGGAAAGGAGAGGAAATAACCTCTTTCTTAACAAAGGAAAACCCCCCCATACTCCTGTGGCTGCCACCTCACTGTTACATGTGCTTCATTGAAGCCCATTCGTATTCAACTGCAGTGAAGTCAAGGAGAAAGTCTGTGTGTATGTGTGTATTTAATATAGGAGTTGGCTCTATACTCCTGTGCCGGTGGGAATAACGTACTGCGCTACAGGCAGTGTGACCTTTTCTAGCTGGCATGCTTTCTCTCCTCCTTCTCTCTTTCACACGCTTACTCTCTAGCTCAGACACACACACACACACACACACACACACCCCCCTACACCTACACCTACCTAGCAGCACCGTCACAGCTAGCTTTACCAACCATCAATTACCCACACTGCTTCCTAGTTTAATGGACATGACGCTTGTACAAATCATTGGAGATAGAGGCCTGATGGGACAGTAGGGTGCGTTTGCGCTGCCTCCTCTCCTGCAGCAGGAAGGTAAAACATGTCTTATTTTCTCCTGTTCGCCTTCCTCAACGTGACCTTTATGGTTGTGTGCTTCTCGAAGCGACAGTTTGTGCTCAAATTGAGGGTTAAGGCCTGCCTGTTTAGAGTGCTCTAACTACCTGCAAAGGCACACATGATGAAGGGGAGGTTGGAGAGTGGGAAAAAGGCAAAAATGTGTAGACACAGAACGAAGTGTTGCTCTGTCTTTTGATTTTATATCATTTACTTCACTTTTTTTAGTATTCTAACAAAATATTTTTTTCTAGTAATCCTGTGTTGAAGTAACCTAATTAAATTCTTAAAACCTACACTTTCAGTTCAGGTTGAGATGGATATGGCTTTAATCGCACTTAATGTTCCAACAACCCAAAAAACAAAACTAAAGGGGGGATTGAATGACATAAGCAGTTAACCAATGGCAAACATGGATGCAAATGTGAGCTTGTAGGAGATAGTATATGAAGAGAAAGCCAGAAATGAACTAAGTAAGTGAGTGAGTGAGTGTCACAGTGACGGACGAAGAGTGAGCATAGAAGGAAAGACAGCGAGGAGGGTGAAGGTTGAGTGGGTGGGGGGAGTTAATGCAAAAAACACACTGCATCAAACCAAAGCACTGCTCCGAGCAGGATGCGTCAGCAGTCCATTCATGTTCCTCTATTTTCCACTAAAGGACAAAACGAATAGAGTGAGAGAGCAAAGGCAGATAAAGTAAAAGAAAATCCAAGATAAAGAGAGTGAGAGAGCAGAGAAGGGAGAGAGAGGACATCGTGATAGAGAGGAACCGAGAGAGTGAGAGAAACAGTATCCCATCTGCCTGCTTTTGCCACCACAGCAATGCTGGAAAGCTTTGCCAGACTTGTTGGAATGGCTGGATTATTGCCGGGGAGGAGGGGGTTAAAATCTGGTTGCTGTGGGGATGCCACTGTCCATCTCTGCCTTTTGCTTGGACAGCCTGTCTATTCCCCTAAGCCACACAAAGCCCCAGAAAGCCACAGAACAAGAGACTGTGAGCATTAAAAAAAAAAAGAGTGGAGAAAGAGCAAGAGCAAACTGGTTTTTGAAGAGGTAGATCTCTAAAAAGGTCTGAGTGCTTTGAGCTCACCCAACTACCTTAGGACACTGCAGAGAGAGCAGAAGGGAGGCAGGGAGAGAGTGTGTGTGTGAGAGAGAGAGAGAGAGCAAAAGTGAGCGAGAGAGGGAGAGAGAGGAGGGGAGAGAGAGTGAGAGAGTGAGAGAGGGATCCAAGCAGGCGCACGCTCTCTCTTTTGCTGCTACAACGGATCCTTTCCACATCGACGCTACTGTTAACGTCACGCCTGTAAGCCGCGCGCTTAGACAGCTTTTGCCTTCCCTGTCTTGCTCCGCTCCCCAGTCGGACGCTGCATTAGCGAGGGGGTGCTGATCACCACGAGGAGAGGAGGGAAAAAAAAAACAAAAAAAACTGGAAAACAAGAAAAAAGAAACAAGCCGGAGAGAGGAAGGAGAAACTGCGCACCACCCCTCCTCCCTCTAACCCACCTCGATCAACCCAGCTACAACACCCCCACTCCTCCCAGCACCCCCTTCCATCCCCCACCCCACTCCCTCTCTGAAGAAATTGACGGATTATTGGGAAGTGCAAGGGAGGCAGGCTGCAGCTGCTGCTGTGTGTGCTCGCTACTGCTGCTGTGTGCTTCGCAGGGATGGTGTGTGTGCGTTTGCAACTGCTGCTGTCGCCACCGCGGCTGCTGAGGCTGGAGCGTGTGGCTAGTTAAGAGGAGGAGGAAGAAGCCAATGAAGGCAGAGTGTGTCGCCTAGCCTTTTCAACCCCTGTCGAGCACTCTGGAGGAAAAAATATAAATAAGAAAAATCAAGTGGACACGACGTATTATTGAGTGGGGAGCAAGAGGAAGAGAGTGAATGAGGGAGAAGGGCTGTCAGACTGAGCGACCGACCGACCAACTGAATGACCACTAAAAAGTGAACAGAGGAATACAGAAAGGAAGGGGTCGGTTTTTTTATCCCGGCTTGTCAATCTCCCCTCCTAACCATCGCAAACAAAAGGCAAAGAACATTAGAAAAGGACTGTGGAATTTTCATTCAACCTTCTCAAAATCCCACTCCCACCTACCCCCCTCTTTTTGTCCTTTCTGTCTTGGCTTTTGGTGCACAAAAACTGTGCATGTGTGTTTGTTCGCCTGTGCTATGGAGACCTGGGTAAGGTGTCTAGCAGGGGGATCAACTGTCGGATTCCAAGGACAAGCAAGAGAAGAGGAGCCGACAGCAAGAAGCGAGCAAGGGATCACTGCTGCTTTGGGAGCCTGACTGGATTCCTATCTGCAATCTTTTGTTTTTTGTTTTTTTGTTTTTTCTAATTAACAAGGAAAGGGAAAAAAAACACTCACAAACGGCCTTCGAACCTTTCTCTTTGGATGTGTGGATTTACAAAATAGCTCTGGTTAAGCTCTTTGGCATTCATACCTGTTTTGACAGAGCAAATATAAAAAGGCTTTCTTTGCTGCTCTTGGGATATACATACATCTGATGTGAATACCACAGCTCTTTCTGGTTGCAAACAGGAGGGAAGCTATATATCTCAGTTCAAGGACCTGTAATAATAACTTGAGGTAGGTGTCTAGTGTTTCAACCCCTCTTTGCATCAATTTGTAACACTCTACCCTCCCTTCTGTCTTGTAATACGGTTTTTGGTTGCTTAATTTACCATCATGTCCTTCTCATACACATGTTTCAGAAAGGCCAGCCCTCTCTACCCTCCCCTCTCTTTCTGCCCCTGAGCACAGTTCATGGAAATAAAAGCATTGCTTAATTGAGGATAGGTCAAGCCCCTCTAAGCAAGCACCCAAAACCCACGCTCTCCCCTTGTCCTCTTCAGTTCCCTTAACCTCTTTACTCTGGTCCCCTTAACACTACTATCAGCAAACCAGCTACTTTCCCTGTTCCCAAAGCCCCCCAAACAACACCCCCAAACACCCCCAACCTCCCCCCCAGATGATGCTGAATTATGAACGTGCCACATCATGAGTCTCCTGGGGCGGGTAGCTGTGCATCGTGCCAGGAAAGCCGCCCTGCTCTGTGTAGTCTTCCTGATGGCGCGAGCGTGGAGCAGCGCCTCCCTGGCCTTGGCGGGGGCGGCGGTGTCTCAGGGACCCCAGGGCTGTCCACCGCAGTGTTCCTGCAGTAATCAGCAGGGGAAGGTGGTGTGCACCCGACGTGGCCTCACCCGTGTGCCCCCTGGAATTCCTGCCAACACGCGACACCTCAATCTAATGGAAAACGCCATCGAGGCGGTGCAGGCTGACTCCTTCCGCCACCTGCACCACCTTGAGGTGCTCCAGCTTGGGCGCAATGCCATACGGCAGATTGAGGTGGGCGCGTTTAATGGACTTACCAGCCTCAACACCCTGGAGCTGTTTGACAACCGGTTGACGGTGGTACCCAGTGGGGCCTTTGAGTACCTGTCCAAACTAAGAGAACTGTGGCTGAGAAACAACCCCATTGAAAGTATCCCCTCCTACGCCTTTAACCGGGTGCCCTCACTCATGCGACTCGACCTTGGAGAGTTACGGAAACTGGAGTACATCTCAGAAGGAGCTTTTGAGGGCCTACAAAACCTCAAGTACCTCAACCTGGGCATGTGCAACATAAAGGGTGATATGCCAAACCTAAGTCCCCTCAAGGGCCTGGAGGAGCTGGAGATCTCTGAAAATAACTTCCCAGAGATAAAGCCAGGCTCTTTCAAAGGCCTGCGCTCACTGAAAAAGCTATGGGTGATGAACTCACAAATCACAGTAATAGAACGTAATGGTTTTGACGACCTATCTTCACTGGTGGAGCTTAATCTTGCCCATAATAATCTGAGCGCCGTGCCACATGATCTGTTCTCCCCGCTCAGGTACCTAGTGGAGCTCCATCTCCACCATAACCCTTGGAACTGTGGCTGTGAAGCTGTATGGTTAGCACGCTGGCTAAGGGAGTACATCCCTACAAACTCAACTTGCTGCGGACGCTGTCACTCCCCTGCCAGCATGAGAGGTCGACAACTGGTTGAGGTGGACCGAGGTGAGGGCGCTGCAATCCAGTGTTCTGCACCATTCATTGCTGATGCACCAAGGGACTTGAACATCTCAGCAGGGCGAGTGGCTGAGCTTCGTTGCCGTACAGCCCCAATGTCTTCAGTACGCTGGCTCCTACCCAATGGGACTATCCTGACACATGCCTCTGGTTACCTGAGAATATCAGTGCTCAATGATGGTACCCTTAATTTCTCAAATGTCCTGGCAGCAGACACAGGCACCTACACCTGCATGGTGTCCAATGCAGCTGGGAACTCCAACGCCTCGGCCTACCTCAACGTGAGTGCAGCTGAGCTTAATACATCCAACTTGAGTTACTTTACCACAGTGACTGTGGAAGTCTTGGGGCCAACCACTGAGATGCCCAAACCTAAAACCACCACGACCACAGCAGCTGCTGCAGGGGCTGGGGTAGCTGGAGGAGGAGGGGTAGGCCTAGGGACAACAACTACAACTGCCTCTCCTTCTGTCTTTCAGCCAGTCTTCATCTCCACACCAACTGTGCTGCTGCAAAGCACCGATAGCCCACCAGGCACAGCTAAGCCATCTGTGGTGACAGGACTCCAGGGTGCCACTAGCAAGCCAGGCAAGTCTGGCCCTAGCCTGGATGAAGTGATGAAGACCACTAAGATCATAATAGGTTGCTTTGTGGCGGTGACACTGCTGGCTGCTGTCATGCTCATCGCCTTCTACAAACTGAGAAAGCGCCACCAGCAGAGGAGCACAGTGGCAGATGCTCGCACTGTGGAGATTATCCAGATGGATGAGGAGGACCTTCCACCACCAGCGTCTGCAGCTCAAGAGACGGCTCTCACATTACCTGAAATCCGGGACCATAACAGCATACACAAACTGGACTTTATCAGCCACAAGACTGACTACAGCTTTCACAAACCCAAGGCCGAATACAAACCCCAGCCTGATTTCACCCTTCACAAGCCAAAGGCTGAGTATACTACATATAAGCCAAATATGGACTTCAGTAGCCACAAATTCATCCCAGATTACAGCACTCACAAATCCACACCAGATTTTAGCCTTCACAGACCAAAGCCTGACTATAGCCAATTTAGACAGGACTACAGCACTCACAAACCTAAAGCAGAATACAGCCCATTCAAACCAGACTTTGGCACTCACCCAAAAACTAAAACAGACTACAGCCCCTTCAAACCAGACTTTGGCACTCATCCTAGGCAGAAAACTGACTTCAGCCCATTCAAACGAGATTACAGCACCCAACCAAAACCTAAACATGACTACAGCCCATTAAAATCGGACTACAACACACAGCATAAACCTAAGGCTGAATACAGCCCATTCAAGCCCGACTTTGGCACTCACCCAAGACCTAAACCTGATTACAGCCCATTTAAGCCTGACTATAGCACTCAGCCCAAACCCAAAACAGACTACAGTGCCCAGAGATCTAAAACTGACAGTACCTACAAACCCAAGGATCCTTACACCCCCCATAAGACTGCAACTGATTACAGCGCCTTCAAGACTGACTTCAGCCCCCACAAAGCGGATTACAGCGCCTTCAAGTCTGACTTTAGTCCACATACTCAGAGACCTAAACTTGATTACAGTCCACACAAAATGGACTACAGCCCTCATAAGGTGGACTACAGCACTCTAAAGCCCAAATACAACACCTATAAACCAACTGGCCATGGGGCTAAATGGACAGACAACAATGTTGGGAACTCTTTGCCTCGAACCTTGCCCAGCACCATCACAGCGATGGCTGAGCCCTATGTCATAAAAACTCACACCAAGGAAAAGGTACAGGAGACTCAGATTTAACAAGGCCGCCCAAAAGGCTCCCATTTCTTTCCCTAGGTCCCTCGCTCCCACTCACCCCTGTCCCATGCCCCCCTTCGTCATTTCCTCATAAAATCATGCAATAGAATGCACAACGAAAAAATGGACAGGAACTACTTTTTTGTACAGAGTGCAAACTTAAAAAGACTGATGATTTCTTGTTGTACATGCTTATAAATAAATATATATATGGACAAATTGAAACTACCATGGGCTGGTGATAGAGAAACATATATTAAAAAGAAATTGAAACTATTTTCTAACTTGTAACTTCTATTTAAAACAATGAGTTGTTTAAGATGCTGTCTTGACTTTGACAAATGAGGGTAGTCTTGTTTTAAAAAGGGGCATTCTGTGTGATTTTTACACCATGCTACAGAGAATGCAGTGATAAGAAAAAATATTTATACTGAGAAGACTTTCTTTAACAAAAACCGAAAAAAGGTCAGTGTCGATCTTTACAGGTTTATCTTGTAAAAGCACCAAGAATTTGTACTGTGCCAAATGTTATAAAATGCAATAAAAAGGATTTTTGGAAGAAAAAAATAAGTATTAGAGAGAGATGTTTTTTTCCCCTCTGCTTCTTCTCCTGGCGTATACTGTAACGATCAGCCAAATGCTTTAGACACTGCAGTAAGACGCTGCAGCTATACTTTAACCCTATGTGTGCTGAATGACTCAGGCACAATGAATTACAGTGCAGAAGTGGATGGGGCTTTTTTAAATCTACCAACAACTTCTATTAATATATTCTTTATATGTAGTGAAAAAGTTTGTTCTGTTTATATTTTACATTACCAGTGAGTGTCATGGTGCTTCATCAAGGTGTGGCTCATCAAAAGCATGCATTTGATCTAAGTTCTACAAATGTGTTATGGTGTTAAAAGATTAAGTGGTATGTCCACAGACAAGTACTGTATAGCAGTGCTATCATAACATCTAATGTTAATCAAAATGTTCATTACATAATGCTTTTCAATGATACAAGTTGATTGTGTTACCTAGCTCATTTTTCACATTATTTTTTAAAGTGGTATTATTAATCATGTATCTAATGAGTGAAAAAGGTGATAAATTAAGGTGAAATACTGTTTGGGTGTTGGGGACTGTCTTGCACTTTGCCAAAAAATATAGATCCTCATTTCACTTTTCCTTGCATTGCCAGCTGTTGTGCCTTCATCAATCAGTATGGGGGCTTTTTATGGTGACAAATGCATTCGGGTCTCACTGTTAACTGTGCATTTTTCATCTTTGACAATATCACTCCTCTCAATCATAATACAGACTCACCGTTCTCTGCCTAACAAAGAAAGATAACATACAACATACACAGTTAGTAGACATGTATTAGATAGTTGAGCCAGTTTTGTTTTTAGTATGTGGAATTGAAAACTAAGTAATGCTGTTGCCGTTCTTTTTACTGTCTGGGGGATAGTATCACACTGGTTAATTAAAATGATGAGAGAGAAAGGTGATGTGAACTACCCTGGGAGCACATATCAGCAAATAACAGAACAAAATTTTGATTGGGCAACATGTGGGTAAATGATGGCAAAGGGAATACTACAAAACAACTCCAGGGGAGTGACTGAAAGCTGTGTGTGGACCATAATCATAATGGCCAACACGGATACACCTTTCTCATTAGCTTCTGTAAATCTGTACATTTCTAAAGTCAACTAACATTAATCAAAAAATATAATAACTAGCCTCTGGACATGCATGACGTTATCAGATCCACAGTCAATGGCCTGTGCAGGCAGGCAAAGCTTTGGCCCAGTAGTGTAGTTGATGACCGTTTACACAACCAGTAAAAAAGTGTGGAAAATGGAGACCTAGTTAGAGAGAGTACCTGCAAGGGCCAAAATACCAGGGACTGCCTTTCCAACACAGTAGCATTTCAACATTTGAGACAGAGGCAGTATGAAAAGGGAGAAGGCTTGACTATAGCAGAGAGAAAGGTTGACATAGTTCACCACAAAAAGAGTGTTGCAGTTAGCTGAGAACGTGTGATGTGTGTTTGTAAGGGTGACAGTCCAGCTCTGAGAAATTAGGAAGTGACAAAAAAAAGGGAGAGAGTGAGATGGATAGAGTAAGAAATGGAGGTTAGTAAGGTCAGCTGAAGAGGGAGTGAGCATATTGTGAAATTTTTCAACTTTGCCGTTTTAGATTACATCTAAACATGCTTGGAAACATGTCACTTATTGTAGACTAAGACAGCATTTGTTGTAAATGTGTAATTTAAATGTCCTCTAACATTGCCAGGCTGGGGAGGATATGATGAACCAATTTGAAGACTGCTTTTGGAGTAAAAACATGAATGGCAAAATTGTGCAGTGAAGCAGAAAATAATATCACAGAGAAAAATCATTTAAATCAAATAAAAAAGGCAAGCATAACATTTTCTTCCTGAAAAACATATTTAGAGGAAGCACACTGGACTATGCGTGTGATCTTAAGGAGCAAGGATATCTGGCAACTTTTTTTTATTTAACTCTAAAATATAATACAACGAGCAGCATTTTGTAGGCCCAGATATAGGTGTGGTTACATACCAAGTGGTCACGACTGCAACACTGTCTTATGTCAAAAAGAACATTTTACTATCCTCTACCAACTGCCATGAAATTAGGGTAAAAATAACCTACTGCAGCATACCAGGGCTGTCACAACTGGTCACTTAGGCAAAAATCAGACATGATCAAATAAACTACAGCTCTCGCTGTCCTCCCCTTCTTGCCATGTCTGCTGATGACTCAGCCTGCATCTTAAATATTGAGCATTTTATGCGGGTGCAAGAATGAGCAAGATGGATCAGGCATGCAAGTCGGTCTGTATGTGTCCATGTATGTGTGTGTCTGGTGCCAGCTATGTTTTCTGTTGCGTGTTGGGCTACATTAAACAAGGAGGATAGAAACAATAAGCGCAGCACAGGGCAGGAAAGGTAAAATGCCGAAAATGAATAGAGTATAAGGCAGAAGGGTGAGAGAGAGAGCGAGCAGGATAATTCATCTAAACTTCATATTTAACAGAATGTCCTGATTCTGGCTGCGGCCCTGCCCTCTACTCTCAGCTTTCCAATAAAGGCAAAAAATGTAAGAGTCTTAATAAACCCCGAAAAGAAAACATGCCGATTTCATACTGTACTGACCATTTGTCATATCACTACGCTGACTCATACCCCAGGCAGCAGCATGCCTTTGTCTCCCACTCCCACTTGTTTTGATATAGCTATGCAAAGCTAGACAGCGGTTTTCCAATTGTCTCTGATGTAAGGCAGGTGAGAGGAATGTTCAAACAAGTGAAAACAATGGGGTACCTGTATGTTGTATCCAAATGGATAGTGTAAATGGGTTAGAGGGATTGTGAGCAGTTGTATGAACAGATGTAAGCACTGTATTAAGTATTAAGCTGTGTTATGGCATTCTATCATAAGCTTGGCCAAACTGTATTGCACTTGCTATGCCTCAGTATGGTATAGCAGGACGGGCCTTATGTTGCGTGTATGTTGTGCTATGTGGTCACATATTAAGCCGCACTGTGCTATAAAAGGCTCCCTCTTACTAATCAGACAACATGGCTACAGGGTCATCAATCAGCCAATCAGCTAGCCAGCCACTGAAGGGCCCGTCTCCATGGGAAACACTCCTTCCCTCCATCCTTTCCACCTCCGCATCATGTTTTTCTTTCTGTCTGTGTGCTTCATTAGCAATCATGAAGCTATTTGAAACAGGAAGCAAGGCAAGATGCACCTACTTACCCACAGCTCACAGAGCCTGGGGGAGGGAGGGAAAGGAAGGGATGCGCTGTAGTAATTATAGGAGAAGATAAAGTGGTATAGAAATTAAGATGTAGGAAAGACACTTAAAAAGGGGGAATGAATGCATGACAGATTGCTTGAAAGAAGTTAACAGAGGTGAAAAATTCAGCCAAAACAGAAAACAGTTGGGGAAAAGATCTACGACGCAGAGAGCAGAGGAAAAACAAGACTTACACAAAACAATGTGGAAGGCTTGGATAAGGTGGCTGATGGTACACAGAAGTATTTCTGGGAGACTAAAAGAAAAAAAAAAAAATATGAGAACAAGAAGTGAGAGGAGAAGGGAAATCAAGGGAGAATCAGGCTGACCGTGAAAAGATAAATAGGGAGGGAGAAGGAAAAAGCAAAAAACAGAAAAAAAAGAAAAAATAAACAGAAGAAGTGAAAATTGATTAAAATAAAATTAAAATGAGAGAAAAAGAAGAAGAGCTAGAGCTACTAAAGAGCGGAAGGCAAAGCAGTGAGAGAAAGAGAGCAAAGGCGCTTAGGAAAGGAGTAAGCAGAGCAAATGTGATGCAAGAGTGCCAGCTACAGATGGAATGGGGGATATATAGCCTGGCCATCATGGCTCCTGCATGATTGGTGAATGGCCTGGACTGCACCACAAGGGGTGTGGTGTTGGGGGTGTACGGGGGTGGGGATAGAGTGTAATGTTACCATAGCACAGTGCAGCAGATAAGAAGTGCTGATACCAGTAATGGACTGGACCACTGGGGGCACTTGAAGAAGGGAGACTGGCAAATATGAAGGCAGAGAGGATGGAAGGATCAAGAGGTCACCGCAAATGGAACTGCAGGGAACGAAAACTGCCACTGAGCAACCATGTGCACGCGTATGTGTTTTCAGTGTGATCAAGGGGAGACTGAATTTAACAGGTCAAAGCCCTTGAACCAGCAGCAAAAAAAACAAAAAAAACAAAACAATATACTTTCTCTCCCATTCAATTTAAGAAAGCAGCTCATTCTCAGCTTAAAAGGGTTCGGAGGACATTTTGAAACCCAATTATTTTGATGCAATCTCTTAATTAGATTTTTTTTTCCCTCACTGTAAATTACTATGCACTGAGGCGCAGAAGATGGCTGTAATAAAATGGTATTCCATTAAAATGACCAATAGACACTGTAATCTCAATTGCATCAGTCATTTATCAACTAAAGCCCCTCACTCACAGTCATGTCAGTAGAGCAAAGGTTCACTTTTGAAACATTTTCTACCTGTATGTTTTACACCATTTTAATCAGCGTCTGCTAAAATGTGTAGAAAAGCGTTAATGCGGGAATTTCTAATGATTAATTTGCACAACTATATTTACGTTTTACTGGAACGTTGGTTCCACTCGTGCAGGTTCTTTAATGGGACTGAATTAAATGCTGCAACATCCATACACTTCCGTCACCCATTTGTTTTTTTCCTGCTTGACACATGCATTTTTCTTTAGGATGCCCGACCCATTGTCAAGAAGAAGGGACTCGCATGTTCACTTTCATGTGATTTATGTTTTTGAGAAAATGCCGGCACTTTGTTACATTATTTATTTTTAATGGCAGCATTATTGTATGATTCAAACACCTAACTTACCCTAGCTTTACTACAAAAATAGCCCACGCTGATGGCTTTATTTTTGTTTTCATGCATATGTATTTTCTAAGCTTTTATTAATTTGTTGATTATTAATAATTAACATACTGTAGCCAACGATTAATTACAGAAACTGCCTAAAATCTGCATCCTTAGTTTAAGCTAGGGATGTGTGCATGTGGTAGTTTTTTTTATGTGAGCACTAGCCAGTGTGCTAGTGGAGCAGACAGGAGGC